TATGGTCAAATATCTTGAACCGTTGAGTGCTCTTGATGGAGGGGTGGAGGAAAAATTGAGATCACTGCTTGATTATTTGGCACCATCAACTAATCCATGGAAGACTGTAGCTCGTGTGCTCAAAGATTACTCCATCTATGAGGGTTACCAGGATCATATAGAGGATGAAGCATTAAGACGAGTTACACGATTTTATCCTCCATGAACAAAACATGATAATGTCTAGTCAAAAACATTAAAGAAAGGCGCTCATTGGGAGGCAACCCAATTGTTTCTTTAAATTGATTGTTTTGATTTCGTGTGATAGTTTAAATATGTTTTCCTTGAATTTGACTGATTTTGGGTGTTAATTTTCGTTTTTGCTGATTTGTAGGTGACCTCCAGGCATGACGCGCCCACGTGATGACGAGCAGGAAGCTCACGATCAGAAACTTCAAACTTCTGGGAGCTCTCTTACCCTCATGACGCGCCCGCGTGATGACATGCAGGAAGCTTACGATCAGCAACTTCTGGGAGCTCTCTTGCCCTCTTGACGTGCCCGCGTCACGTTCGCGGGAAAGGTAAGGATTCAAAAAAAAAAAAAATTCTTTTAACCGTAGCTACCTCTTTTCTTTTTTGTTACAAAAGAAAAAAAATAAAAAATAAAATAAAAATAGAATAAAAATAAAAAACCCGTGATTCCGTGGTCGGTGATCCAGTGAGAATTCTACACTTTGATAATCACGCTTTTCCAAAAAGCGCGTTGTCTCTATCGTATTCTCATCAATTATTTAGTACGAAGATTCTGCTCTTTTTCTTGCTCTCCTTTTGGGGCGGTTACATTAAATAATAGAATGATTTCAGAAATCTTCCATAAAATTTATAACAACTTCACTTAGCATTTTGTTGAAGTTTTAAAAATACCTCGAATTATCCAAAAAAAAAAAGAGAGAGAGATCATATTTTCCTTGCTTATTTTGTCAACATCAAAAAGAGACAAAAAAATGGAAGGCCGCAATTAAAAGTATGCAGCCACTTGGAGTTTGCCTTAGCAAATCAGTGACGTAGTATCATGGTCCCAACAGTACCTATGACGTCTAACGTTACGTAATTTCCATTGACGTTATGGTCTACCAAGCTTCTCTCCGCCCCACCTATGATATATATAGTCTTCCCATCAGCCCCTACCCACTATCAAAAGCCCCCCCTCCACCACACCACCTAGCTATGATCACTTTTTCTCTCAAAAATCCCAAAAAAAGGTAGACAGTAGAAATTAAACCACCATGCAGCAAGCAACACCATATACAACCTGGCCTCCGACCACCGCAACCTCCGCCGGCGGCTTCCACCAGCCTCGAGTCACAGCTAAGTGACAGTAGCAAAAGTGCGGAAAATGATGGTATACAAGTAGTACCAGTCAGGTAACGAGACTGGTATCAGAAAATGCAGTGATTGCGTTTGGGAGACGAGGTGCTGCATGTGCTATGTTGTCAAGCAACTGTTGCTGGCCTTGGCGTTAATCCCACCATTTTTTACGTTGACGAGGAAGATGAAGGGGCAATAATCGATGAGCTATCGAAAATCGCAGGCGTTTTGGAAGGGGATGGCAATGGGAAGGTGCAATTTCCGGCTGTTTTTGTGGGCGGAAAGTTGTTTTGGAGGGTTAGAAAGAGTGATGGCTACACATATTACCGGCGAATTGGTGCCTATGTTGAGAGAAGCTCGAGCTCTGTGGCTTTGACGGTTGACTTTGTCTTTGCCAAAAGTCTTTCAAATATATATATATGTATGTATATTTTAAATTGCAAGAATCCTAGGTGGTTAATATGCTTAGGTTTGTTTCTTCTCTCCGTAAGTTTTCAATATTGAGAGATATGCAGGGCAGGAGACATTTCGTCACTGATCTCCTTGTTTTTTCTTCTTTGTGTAGAGGATAAGGTTTTAGGACCCGCAGATCATGTAATTTTGATCTCTTAAACTCTTTCCGATCGTATATGTTTCATCCTTTACAAGTTTATCTTCACAATTCATAGAATTTAGCCAAGCAAATCATCAAGTCTTCTTCTTCTTGTTTTATTGTTATTATTCTTATTATTACTATATTGCAATGACATGGTGGTTGCATAAGAGTGTACGAGTATATATCTCTGGCATATATATATATATATATATATATACGGAGATTAGTGTGTTTGGATTATAAATTATTTGAGATAATTTTGTGAAAAAAGTACAGTATACTTTTTTTATATAATGTATGTGAGATAAAAAAATAATTGAAAAATGTGTTGATGATGCAAGCAAATCAGTGTATGTAAATAAAGTGTAATAATTTACAATCCAAACACACTCATCGATATCATCAGTGAAAATATATATGGCTCATCATCATCAAAACCCTAGTGTGATGATCATCAGGATGATTATATCATTTTCAGATTTTAACTTTTTCTGACTAATTGAAAGATCTGGATTGCGGCCGATGACTAGAATTAGCCAGTGGTTAATTACTTTGGTTTTACGTGATCGATCGCCTCCTTAGTCCTTCCTTATACTGTCCAAGAATAAATCACAAGATTAAAAAATTAAGCTAGTAAAAACTTGAAGAACTAGAACATAACCGACCATCATGTGCTATCTAAAGCCTAGAAGACTTGCATCAAAGCCAAACTTAATCGGCACGAATAATAGTTAGTTTAATGATCACGAGATCATTGGTTTTTATCTCAAACTTTCTCATCTTTCCCTTGTAATTAAGACTTGAAGTCTTCTTTTAAAGTAAAAAGAAGAAGGACAAAGGAAAAAAAAAAAAAAAACACCCGAAATATTGATTCTCTATCTAGGCCGACTCGGGGGAATAGAATAAGTATCTAGGCAGGCATATAGTAAGATTACGTACCATCGATTTGTTAAAAAGCCAGTACAATTACGGGAAGGAATCTGCTTATGTAACCAAAATTTTATCCCTACGATTTTCTTTTCTTGATTTTGTATGTGAATATGACGTGAATTCATAAATTATTGCTTGAACAGTGAATTATTTGTTTATATTATCAACACGTTTTTAAATTATTATTTTTTATTTCATATGTATCACGTCAAAAATATTACAATGCTTTTTAAAAAAAAAATTATCCCAAATAATCTATTATCTAATAACCTCCCATCACATACATCACATCAACCAAGCTCACTTGTTATCCACAGTCTATAATATCGTTTTCTGCAATTCTAATAGAGATGAAACACGTCAAAAAAGTCTTCTGCGTGTAAGGTAGCAGCCGTGTGCGGTGCAAAGAAAGAGTAAAGATTGACAAGCATCCACACACACAAAGCTAGTTAACCTTATCCAATCCCTTTGCTATTCCCTTTCATCAGTGTATGGATATTTTGAAGCCTGAATTGGTGCTATCGAATCGACGAAGTTCTTGAGACTGTTGGTTGTCATCGTATTAATGTCCCAATCTATTCCATCGCTCACCAGTTACGAAGCAGTGTACAACATCTTTATTAACGTGCCAGTACGAGTAGCACCATCAAATCTCATGGCAATTTTGATTTTGAAAAGAACATTACCAAATTCATGCTTCTAATAATATCAGAATCCAGCAATATAGAAAGAGCCAATAACAAACTGTTCAAGTGATCACTCGATTTCCTTTATCACGAACCTGGATTTCAATCACTTTTCCATCCACTAGAAAAAGAACTAATGTAAAAAAGATTATCTTGCGTCTCAAGTGCTAATACAATGACTGCCTTTTTGTCAAAAAAAAAAAAAAAAACTATGTACTCCCAGATGCAAGGTTAACAATACTACACCTTAAATTAAACCAACTGTAGTTCTATTTTTTTGGCTTATTCTTCTTGAAAAACGATCGATGGCCTTCCACAATTAATAGTGTAATCATTTCTTCCTGAATATTTGATGATCCACTGAGACCGTGGACCAAATATAACCCCAGTTGACTTCAAAACTAACCCAGCATTCCCTCCTTTTTTTTTCTTTTTTTTTTCCCCCTTTGGAATGCTATACCGAATCTACATACGCCTTGTTTCATCATGAATAATAGATAATTGATTAGTACAATTATGCATCATTATCCGTGAGAAAATCATTATATACTTTGTCTGATATGAGCCCCGTGACGGACAAACAGCATTATGAAGTCAGCAGTAACTGTCATTACGTGAGAGGGTTGGTCATGATGAGGAAGATGATGATGATGATGACCATGACGATGCAGCTTATGTAAGTGTGATTATATTTCTTCTCATCGAAAATTCAATGTGCGCTTCGGTACAATCTGCCAGTGGGATTCAATGGTTGTCCGCATCGGTCAATAAAGTTGTTTGCATTTTTTTTTGTTATCGATACGATAGACCTACAATTATTCTATGCTATGAAGAGAAGAAGATCTGAAGAGGTCGGAGAGAAATCGGAGGCGATTGAACCACCTACCGGTCTCGTGCACTCGTCTTGAAGTGGCTTATCATATTTTTGTGCCAGTGATAGGAGACAAGGTTTGATCCCCTTAACTCCCCCCTCCCCCCCCCCCCCCCCCGGTCAACTTTGGTGACAGCTTAGCTCGGTGGTTTTTTCTGCGTAACTGGGGTCTTCATGCTTCCCCTTCCTCCTAAATAAAAGAAGTATACTATTAATTAGTACTACTAAATTGACACGGTTGTCACTAATAATTTCTATCATTAGTGCAACTTTCTTAGTCGAGTAGAAGGTGATTTTCAACTAATTTATTAATAATATTGATTTCTATTTCATTAAAAAAAAAAGATTGACACAATTCATTACTCCCCGCAAGGAAGGACTAGTTGATTGTTAGTTTTTTTTTTTTTTTTTAAGGATGCATTTACTCGATGATTTAAACTACTATAATACTTGCCTAGGCAAGATACATGGCAAATAATAGTCGACCCACATAGGCAAAATCTAAGTTGGCTGGCGTAATTTCATAATTAGAGAGATCTGATTCAGTGCTAAGTTTTGTATCTGTTCTATTTGTTTGTTCAGTGCTCTAATTGTTTTCTATTCTTTAAGTTGAACGAGATAATTAATTACAAGTAAGCTTGTTCGCGTTAATACGAGAAGAATGAAGAGAAAAGATTATAAGAAGATACCGGTCAACTCTTTCTTGGTCGAAATAAAGTGGCGCAATTCTACCAGGCTTAAATACGAGAATCGCATTAAAGTTGTGTACCCTAAAGGGCAAAAAAAAAAAGGAAATATAGTTCAAAATATCCTTTAAAATCAAGTCAGTAAATTTTGGTCTCAATCCAAGTTTCCGACTACTTTTTACCTCGAATCCATTACATGATTCATGCATAGTTATTTTTTAGGGATAAAAAAGTTATATTTCATTTGTAGTTAAATAAATGATCCGATTCATATTTATTTTTACCCCTAAAAAAGTAGAATATGTTCCAAACCATATTCATTTTTTCTAAAAGAGTGGGATAGGACCTAATACATATTCATTTTTTCACTAAAAAAATGGAATATGACCCTTTTGCACATAAAAAATTGTCTACACGTGAGTCTAATGGCGATTTTAAGCTAAAAAATTATCAAAAAATTTAGCTGGAACTAAATTTTATTAACTTAAATTTATAAAAGATGTGAATTTAACATTTTAGAATATGAAGGATGAAAAAGTTCATTTGATGATCTGTAAGGGATGTTTTGAACAATTTTTTTTTCAAAAAAATCTTAATTGTCTCATAACGAAGCAATAAAATAATTGTTAAACCATATAATTTGTCATTTTTTTCAGCTATTAATCTTTCCCTGTTTCACATGTTATAGATTAAAGTCCGATGACACTGGAAACTTGGAGCCCACGTACCTAAGAAATTTCCTAAAAAGTAAAAAGTAAAAACTGACAAATTCCTCACACTGCCTGGTTGCTGATTACCGTTTTAGAAACTTGGAGCCCACGTCCCTAAGTTATTTCCTAAAAATTAAAAACTAACAAATTCCTCAAGCTGCCTTGTTGCTGATTCGTCTCAGAGAATCTCTTCTTTCCTATTACTGGAAGTATTTGTCTTGGATTTCTTGAAATCCTAGGGCTAGGAAAAGTTTGTCGAGTCTATAAGAAAATCGATATCCCTAATCAAACATCTTAGCAGATTTTAAGCGTCTCCAAAGAGATTCTCAATTAAAGGTTCGTTTTCATAGCATCGATTGTTTTCCGTTCTTTGTTCTAATTTTAGTGCAGGTTCTCCCTGAAACTTAATTATCAAACAAATCATCATGGAGACCTTAGAGCATGTGAAAAAACCAAAATCACAAAATTATTGTGTTTTCATGCAGGAAAAAGAGAGCAAGAATGAAGAAAATCCCCACAAAAAGGGAGAGGAGGCAATCCCTGATGGAATAATGCGTGAAGTTTCTGTTGGGAAGGGATTATCTGGAGCCCTGAAGCTGTTGTTAGATCAAGGATATCTCAAGGAAACTAAAGAATTGAGTAATCCGAAAACGGGCTCGAAAACAAGCAAGCTTGGCGGGATTTATGATGATCGGGGACAAAGGGAGATAATCATTGAGAGAAGAGATGAGCTTGGAAATGTCATGAATGAAAAAGAAGCTTTTCGCCAACTTTGTTATAAGTTTCAAGGGAAGAGGCCTAGTAAAACTAAGCAAGACAAGCGTATGCGGAAGATCGAGAGGGAGAAGAATGTGAAGCTATCGTCCCAGAATTCTGAAGAAAGTATGGTGCTAATGGATAATGCTTTGAAGAAGCTTCAAAAACCTTATCTTGTTATCGAAGGGAAAAAAAGGGCTACATGATGAATAGTGCCCACCTGTTGGCTCGCATGAAGGTCAATGGCCTGAGCACCAAGATGCAGCTCCTCGCAAGAGCACTAAAACTAGTAAGTTCCGTGAAGATCTGCAATGCAATACCCTGAACTTTAGGAATATTCTACTGTCACAGTGCACTTTATCTACTATTGGTAATTTTTCTCTATTGCTTTTACCATTTTTTTCATTTTGTTCAGTTCTGTGCCAACTTTTTCTTGTTTGGGAATGTTTACTAAAAATTTTTTCTTTATTAAATTGGTGATACAAGAAGCATAAAAATTCTGGCTCCTTTCTGGTAATGCACAATTTCTGTTGCAAGGGAACATTTAGTGTCTTACTAAGCATGCTACATTGCAAAATACAAAGAGTGATACCTGACGTTTTATAGGCTGAGGATAGGCAAAATTCTGTCTTTTAATCCCACGTAGTTAGCACAGTGAGCCATGAAGTCAAGCACATCCCATATCGGTGGGGAAGCACATTTTTGCTGCTATTTTTACCAGTAACTGATAACGTTCAGTACAACAGCAAAGTAGGATGGAAACAGAATCATAAGTTGGATATGAATTTATTTGTCACAAAAATTTGTTACTTGCATCATAAACACGTTTTTCAAACTTTTTTTATATTCTTAACCATATTTTTATTTAACATACATCACATCACAAAAAGTACTACAGTATTATTTCAAATAATATTTTCAAATGATCTCCAATCCAAACACACTCATTCTCAATGAAGCAAAGTTTAATGCCTGGTTTCGTTTGCGGGTCGAATCAGCTGGCAAAAATCCTGTAATGCGATCCAATATAATTAACAACTCAGGTCCTCAAATCCAGTCCGTTATCGGTCTACCAGTAATTGCCTAATTGACGAGGAAATTTGAAGCAAATTTAAATGGAAACAGAGTGATGATCAAAGGTACACCCTTCTATTTTTAACACCTAAAACATGTAGACACAAGACACCACAATTTTGGCCCAGAGAGAGAGAGAGGAATGGATGTAGAACAAGGCAAACTGATAAGGAAACCATTCTTTTGTAGCATAAGCTTTAAATTCTCTTTGTTTCTACCTTGTATATTTGTTTCCGCTTTGTCCAGAAACAAATGGAGCAGTAGTAGAAGAAAGAGAAGCGGACAAGAGAATTTCTACGATAAGTACAACACAGGTAACATGATCTTTCTTGGAAACTACATAATAGCATTTATACCTTGTAAGTTTGCAAGAGTACACATTTAAGGTAATGCATCCACCCGAGTCCTGTTGCTTTTGTCCTTTTTATGTCTGAGTGTAACTGAATCCTCATGCCTCCACCCATACTCTAAATGCATACTTTAAACAGATAAGTGAGAAGCAAATTTAACAGTCTAATGAAAAAGAAGATAAAAACCAGAATGGGTACTCATGAGATAATCTTTGCATCTCAATGTAACAGGTGCTCCTGCAAAGAGAAGCTTAAAAGAAGACATTCATACTTCACCAGATAAGGGAAAGATTCAAATGAGAACATGGATTGGGTTGTTAAGAATTAGGAATCATTAGGTCCAGACCCAATTATCCTTGTAAAATTCAGCTTAATTTCAACATTATTTTGCAAATTACAGAGACAGACTGCTTCAGTTACTCGGCTAACAGGGTACAGGCAAGCAGATCTTGAACGAAAACAGCTCGCCCAGTAGCTTGTCTCATTCTTTTTTCTCGCTCTTCGTGACTTAAGGATGACTCGAAACTGCAAAGATGGTTACATAGGTGATAAAGAAAAGTGGTGGATAGACATGTAGAAAGATTGTATGACAAGAGACAACAGTTGCAGGAATACAAAAAAGAAACTTGGTATGCTCTGTTATGCATCACGGTAAGGCATTATAGACAAATAAAGAAAGTTCCTCAGTTCACATTATCTATTACGATTTACTACTGCAAATGAAGCTTTATCTGGGATAATTCTTTCATTAATCCACGTCTTCATCAAGTCAAAATGAAACCCAAAAGTCAGCATTATAAACTGCCTTTGTTATTATGTAATAAAACAAGACCAAGATCTTATCCAGCCCTTCTGCTTTTACTAAATGAGTCTTGGAATTGAAATGATAGAACTCATGTTGCTCTGTTCCTTGTATATCACAAAACATCTCAGAGCTGTTTAATTTTCTTCCAAAAGATTAAACTCAGGAAAATAATGAGGACTTCCTTAAAGGTTTAAGCATTTTTCGCTTCCTTAGAAAATTAATCATGAAAAACAGCCGTCTGCAGTTACAGATACAGGAACTCAAAGATCATTTCCTGAGCCGGTGAACAACATAAAGACTCCTTGAAGATTGAATACTGAAGCTTAACAATACTATCTTGTCTTATTTTTTACCATAGTAGAAAATGTCATGCAGTTGTATGGGTTGAAGCCCCTAACCTCCTGAAGTTTTGACTCTTCAAACAAAAATTGCACTAAGTAATGGGTGGTCCTAGATTCAAGCTGTGTATGCATGACACCAGTTTTTGATCCATACAGGATTCATTCATTCACGCTAACAGATCGACCAGACAAAGCATGCTCCAAATGAATGGCAAGTTAGCTTTGGGTGCCTAGTGCTCTTACAGTTCATTGACCTGTCAGCGAATAGAAAATGGCATCTCAAACGCTCAGTAGTCCTCCTATAAATCTGGAAGTAAACAAAAGTTGTGGAGGACCATTGGCCAAAGTCAAGCAAAATATGTCTAGAATATCAAGTCAACTGAATTAAAAAGCGGTTCTTTGGTAACTCTCTTAAGCTATAAACCATCACCAAGCCAAGTTAATGGGTGCAACTAAAATATTTGTTCCATTTCCATTCCTCATGATGAATCATTGTGGCAAGGGGCGCCAGTTCTACAGCACATGAAGACTTATCAATCATAACAAGTAGAATTACAGCTATAATATTTAAGTTACATCAACGTACTCTTATAGATTTTGGATTTATTTACTCCTTTCTGCAGTGAGAGATATATTGCCTTAAAAATTGCAAGCTATTAATGCAGGAACTACAAAATCAACAAACAACCTAGATAATTAATCTTCATCCAAGCTCTATCCAGCCCATCATTGGCCAATTTCAACAAGAAAATAGAGCAACTACTAAAGGTAAGGAATTAAGCTTTGTGTTCTTCTCATAGCATCTCATTTCCTATAAATGGAATACCATTATGCTTATGCTCCTAGCTGGTTCTTCCATTCACTTCTAAAACATACTGTGGCATGCATGTATTCTAGTCGTGGAAACTATGTGACTTACAGTAATCTCCAAATTAGTGTATAATATAGACATAAACTACTTGAACATACTGATTAAGCTACCTCGATTTCCATGTATGCTGTAATGACATGGACTTCGTTGATGTGTCCTCAATACTGGACACCAAAGTTTTTGAAATTTCATCCGCTTCAGATGCAGGAAAATTCAGAACAAGAGAAGAAAGTAGTGGATCAGCCATTGCACCAGATGAGGTTGCATTGTTAGATCGGTACCCACTGCCACCTAAAAGAACCTGTAAATGGGCCTCCCTAAGATCCCTCCCCAGCAGAGAGAGTGCCTGACTACTGGGAACTGCAACTCTACGTAATCTACGACGTCGCTGCAAGTAATCTTAAGTTAAAGAAATAATGAAATGATCGAAGGACGAGCAAATTGTTCATTATAATGCAGCTTTAACTATGTAATGTGAAGGTTTACTATGAAGCCAATAGAATATGAATATAAAAGTTCCACTTTAAAGGATATCTTGAATAAATGTCCATGTTGCAACGTGATATGACTCAGCATGTTTCTTGCAACTTTAATAGAGCAAACTGGACAAACCTGCAAGAAAAATGTGAATTCATTATGACAGTCTTCATTTTAAAGTTAATACTAAATAAAAAATAGTAAGTGATACAAAAAGCATCCAGAAGAATACATGCATGGAAGACGGAAACTCTCTTGCTGTCTCTCACACTGGCAACCACCCTCTTTTACTAACAAACAGACTAATGGCGGAGTTCGATAAATTGTATCCCGGAAGTGCTTTTTTTACCAACCTAATTGTGTAACCCAAGCGCTTAGACCACAATTGAAGTATAAATCCCTGGAAACCATTAACATTTCAGTAAAGCACAAGGGGAAATAGGAAATTTACTCAACACTACCATGCATTCAGGTGAGTCATTAAACATAAAAGCACTCCTACAATGAATTATGTCTTTCCAATTAGTGAAGGATTTAGCAAACTACATACTTTATCTAGCATTTGAAAAACCTTGACCCAGACTAGTGACAACAGCTGTTGAAGCTGTTTTAACTTGCAACAAGTAAATATATGACCCTATAGAACACCTCTAGTTTTGGATTTTTTTCAACACCCCTATAACTGATTAGTGGCAAGCTCATTGCAACTATAATAGCCAACTGCAAGAAAGAAAAGAGTTGACAACAAAATTAAAATATTTCCAAAAGAAAGGGTTAACATGCATACCATTTACCAGATATTGCGTCCATCTAGCAAAGTTATCATAATGATATGGAAAACAACCAATAGTCATAACCACAGTTAGCTTCTTACTGACCAGCAAAACTAAGGAAAATTCTGCCCTAGACTATCTCCAAAATTCTAGCCTAGGAGAGTCAAATGTCCCCCCACCCCCAAGAAAAAGTTTTGAGAATCCTTCCCAGCCTTAGGTTTCCACTGTGCTGGTGATTTAACTCTTCTCCTTCCCTTCACATTTAAACCAGGTTATACTGTAGATATAGCCTGAATAGAATTACCCAAAACTCATGCCTCTCATGCACAACAATGAAATATACAAGTTTGAGGAAACAAGAATATGAGAAATGCCCAAAAGGTTTGGTGCAATTGGTCAGGACTCAGGAAGTCAGAGGAGGTTCAGATTCAGTCTTCAAACCCACAGAAAGGTGGTTTCATTAATTCACACAAAATTAATTTATACTCCCTTCAATGCCTCAATCTCTTGCACCCTAACCCCCGCCAAACCAATGCTTTCGACCCTCATCCGAACCCCAAAGCAAAAAGGAGCACACCCAAGAAAGGGGGAAAAAGGGTCAAAACATATCCTTTGGCAATATATCTGAACCTAACTCTGCTTCCTTATATAATGTGCAGACAAAAGTATTAGAGCCTATACAAACCAAATAAATACCCAAGATGGTGACGTCCCAACCTACTAAATAGAGTCAAGATTTACTTTTTCACCCATTTAGCCAACATTTCCTTCACTAAAATGGCAAAAAAGACAGAAATTAGCAGAATATAACTCTAAGCTCAAATTTGCATGCACCAATCCCTTTTCAAATCCTAAAATCACTTTTTTTTTCATTTACAGCGCCAAGATTACCAAATTTGAACAAAAGTACAACAAAGATCAGAATTTGACAACACAAAAGAGAGTGATCAGCACATTTCCCAGAAACAAAAAGTAGCAAATATTAAAAAAGAAGAAAAAAAAAAGAAAACTCACGGTAACTTTGGACTCGCAAGAATGCTCATCTTCAAGATGTGAGCAAAGGGATGCAATATCAAAGTCTTCGTAACAATACGGGCATGGAAAATCGGGTCGAACCTCCTCTTCCACCTCGAAATCATCAATATTTAACCGATCTGAAAAATTCAACGCGACCATCCCCACAAAATAAAGCCAAAACATGTTTCAGATCACTCAAAGAAAACACAACAAATATTTATTCAGAAATGAAATATAAATACCGACCCAATTGAGAGCTCTGATGTTGGCTGCTATGGCTGTGATGATGGTGATGCTGCAAATTGAATTGGCGCTTAGCAGCCGCGAGGCGAGAGGTCCAGAAATCAGAGTCCATGAAGAGCAAAGGAATAAAAATGAAGAAAGAAGAAAAGGGTCCAGCTAAAATATGACTAATATTTAAGCAAGGTACTATTCTTTAAAAAAAAAAAAAAAAGTCTTCTACGAAATAATTTCCAACTTTTCCATTCTTCTCTGTCTGTATGTATTAAGGTGACAATGATCTTGTTTATTATGCGTTTTCTTTTTTTTAGTTTGTTTCAATATGCTGAGCTTAAAAACCAATCTGGGGTGGGATTGTAGTGTTTTATTTTTGTTTTCCCAGGTTTGAACTTTGAGGTAGTCTTGGTGGCGCACATTCATCTCATCTCTGAGCGGTATTTGTTAAAAAAAGCAAAGTGAAAGGAGTGGGTGGATATGACAGCAAAGTGACTAAATCAGAAATTGTCGGAGTTTTGGATTAGATTTTTTTTGTGGATAATTATTAGTGGTTTGAGATTTTTTTTTGTTTTACTTATTAGCTTGCATACTAAAATACAAACTCTCTAAAGCGTTGGATGTACTATAAGATTTGTTTGTGGACCAGAAATAATCAATATATGTTTGGTGTGTCAATACTTTATTTTTTTATTTTATCCTTTTTAGTAGGGAAAGAGTAGAATATTTAAAAAAGGGGATCTCGAGCCCCTAATTTTTGAGATTTCAATTGCAATCACTAACCTAAAGATTTCTCGACTTTGTGTGTGAATACTTGTTTATAATGCGTTATAATAATTTCTTTTCATTGTTCCTTTCATTTATTTATATATAAAATTTTATAGTAACTCTATAAAGTTATCTGACTGTGTCATTATTTTTCTTTTAATATCTAGATTAACATATTAAAAATTAATATTCTTTTGGGAATACTTTAACGTTAAATTTACACAAAGTATTTAAATGGTGAAAAAAGAGTCAAAATTGTAACAAAATTTATAATGATTAATCAAAGAGTAAAACTTAGTCAATTTTGTACAAAATTTATGTATAGTTAGTAAAAGTGATGAAAAAAATATTATGAATTATGTTGATTTTCAAAAATAAATTTTAAATTAATTTTATTATGATATAATGGAGAGAAATTTTCTCGAATGCAATGGAGAGAAGTCTAATCCGTTCATAATATGTCATATATGTTCTTAATTATGTCATAGATGAAGTTTATGAAATTTTAAATCTTTTGCTATGTTTCAAAAGAAACGTAATAAAAGTAAGATTCCTTTTAGATGTTCTTTACTTATAATTTTGTCTCATATATAATATTTTAAATAAGCTGTTTTAGTAACAATTTTTTTAAATTCTCCAAGATGCATTCTTTAAAATACGTAAGACATATATTTTTATTGTGTTTAACTACTATATTAAATAGACATGATTTTGAACTCTTTTTTCTAATAGAATATGCTTTTAATCAAATTTACACTATGATTTTACATAAATTTACAATCGAAATATTTTAAAGTCTCTTGGGGAATTTTTTACTCTAGTACTGAGACTTTTATAATAACAAATTGCTATTAGAGACTTTAAAATAACACATTGCAACAAATGTTCAACATATTTTAGTTTGTCATAGTAATCAAATAATCTCAGTCAAGTGAAATTACATGTTGCGTTAAAATCATTATTGAATTGATACTACAAAACTAAAAGATATTTTTTGACTCGCAAAACTAAAAGATATAAAACATCATTTACTTTTGTCTTGGGTAGTTGACTCATTAAACAAAGGACCTTATTTGGCTTTTATAAACACTTAAAATATCATGTTAATAGAGATAAATCATATTTGAGATGGAATAAGTGCAATAATTGATCCAAGACAACATAGGGATTTTTTTTTTTTGTCAAAGAAAAAAGTTGGTATAATAAGATAGGGAGGTCATGGTAAAAAGAGTAGAATATATGTTAACGACCACAAAAAATGAAAAATAGTTTTTGCCCTCTTAAAAGATACACTAAGGAAATTTTAATCATATCTCAGAAGTAACAATCGACATTTGGATGGTAAGTTTTTGCAAAAAAATTTGTTACACATATTTTTTTAATTATCTTAGATATATTATATTATGAGTAAATCTTATATACACTAATGATATATATATTATTACAATTGGATACACGATACATATATTATGTGTCATATATTTAATGATAAAAGTGTATACACTGTTAGCGTATAGAAGATTAATCTTTATATTATTACACAGTATATTTGTCTACAAAAACTCAAAAAACTTTTAAATTCAAATGGGTTCGCCAATTCTCGTCCAAGCGATTGGTCCTTGAAACCCAGTGAAAAGATGCGGGAGGTCCAAGAGTTGGGGCCCAACCTAACAAAAAGAAAAAAAATAAAAAACTGATAAATTTCAAGAACTCAAAATTACGCAAAGTCATAAGCAGGAAGAATAACTAGGAACTAGAAGTGACTTTTACGACGTCGTACAATTTGGTTTCAGTTTCCGTTTTGCTTTTAACCGTCGCTTGATCGCCCAAATTGGGAATCAAATCCTCTGTCCCTTCAATTGCCTCAAAATTAGGGTTAGGGCTTTTTCCTCCTCGTTCTAACAGAAGCCCCTACGCCAAAACCCCTTTCTATATCCCTCTTTCGACAACCAACATCTCATCTCAAGTCAATGGCAAGCAGAGGCCCAGCAACCTATCAACATTCCAGGCGCGGTGGCGGTGGCGGCGGCGGAGCAGGAGGAGCTAATGCTGTTGCGAAGCCGGGATTAAGAAAACAGTGTTTGTAAAGGTGGATCATTTGAAACCTGGGACAGCTGGGCACACTTTAACTGTTAAGGTCTTGGAATCCAACACTGTTCTGAATAAAAAGCCCCGAAACCCATCGTCGTTTCGTGGTCCATCGTTCCAACAACAGCAGCCCAGTCGCATCGCTGAGTGTCTTGTTGGTGATGAAACGGGAACTATTCTCTTCACTGCCCGTAACGAGCAAGGTCCAATCTTAAATTTTTTTAAAAGGTTTTAGATGATTTATCTATTTATTTATTCTTTTGCTTTTTCCCCGGTATCTCTCTCTCTCTTTTTTTTTGGGGGGGGGGGAGGTGGTGAGGTGCTTGGTTAGTTCTTGGGTTTGGTGAATTACTTGCCGGTCTGAATTTAAGGTGGATTAGTTCTTGTTGTACGGTATGGAGTCAAGGAAATAATTAGTACTCGGCGGAAAGGAGACCGAATAGGTGTGCACCTTGGTTCACTCGGTGCAAATTTAGTAATATTTGATGATATATTCATTCAAAATTTTTACTTTGTGCGTAGACAATGTTTCAAATGTGGGAAATTACAATATGAGCTGTGTATGTTGTGCAAGATATCTGAATGTTTAAACACTGTTTTCTGATGATTTTTTCACGCTGAAATGTCTTTCGTTTAATGAGAAGATATGCATCCTTTGATTTTCAGACCTAAAAAGAAATAATAATAATGTCACCAAAAGCTCAAACTTAGACGAGAAGGGCTGAATTTCTCTTGAATTTATTTTGACTTGTCGGGTTGTTATGTTGTTTGTCATTTTAAGGTCCTGCTTGAAGGGTTAGGTGCGCTAGCCGTAGAACTTCTGATGGTGCAATACAGCTGATAGTCTTAAACCTTATGTTCCTCCCTGGTTGTCAGCGTTTTTTAGGCCAATTTGGTGAGGTTATGTTAGGGGGCTATTTGCGACTGAACTAGATGTCTTTCACATTATACTTGACTAAATGGACCGAAAAATTTATGATTTTCACTTTGTTACCATCTTACGTCCCCAGCATAATGGCCGCAGTGTTTGTGGAAATGGTATTAATTTGTAATGCTTCTTGCATTTGTGTTTTCAATTTGAAGTGCTTGATTTCTAGAATTTCATCCCCTTGTTTATTCTAGTGGGGTTATTTACTTTCATGGCCATTTAGGGGACTACATACTTGCAGCGGCTAAGTGAACATGTTGCTTTGTCAGCTTATTAGAATATATGACTTACTTTGAAGGTTGTGTTCTTGTGCTAAAAGAGTTCTAGGCATTTTATAAATTGTTAACTTCTAGCTAGAAGAAGAGTGAGCTTCCTGACTGTTTTATTCATTGCAGTTGAATTGATGAAGCCAGGCAATACTGTCATCCTTCGCAATGCAAAAATTGACATGTTCAAGGGTTCGATGAGGCTAGCTGTTGATAAATGGGGCCGCATTGAGGTGACAGAACCTGCAAAATTTGCAGTTAAAGAAGACAACAATTTGTCCTTGGTAGAGTATGAGTTGGTGAATGTAGCCGAAGAATCTTGAATTTGTTTCATCATTTTCTGTCACCAAGTCTATTTTGGGTAATGATTTGTTTGTCTATGGGTATATTGGTATACAAGCTCACTCAATCAGTAGATTATTTTCTTATTATTAACATGTGATAGGACTAATCTAATATTATATGTTGTAGTTTGTATGTTAAAAAGAATATTAACTGACTCTGCCTGGCAAGAATGTGGACTGCAGAGAGTTTGCCAAGTTGTGTTTAATTCAGTTTTTGTACTTCTCTCCAAGTTGTGCTGCTTCAAATTTTTAGTTATCCTTTTTCTTTTACTGTTTTGGTGGAGTGAAATTTGCTATTTTTGTTTTTCATTTGCTTTTGTGTTTGTATCATGTTAGCTTATTTCGGCGCTAGATTCTAACATCTCATCTGAAGGAAGGGTTTCTGCACCAATAGATAAGCTGCATTTAGTTTTTTCTTTGCATCCATCGACTTACCTCAGACTTTGGAGTTACTGATGCTCATTTGAGTCTTGGCGGCCTCCTTGGAGTCTTGTTTGTATGCTCATTCGAGACTTTGGAGTTACTGATGCTCATTCGAGCATTGGATCTGAAACATGTTGACTTTTAAGAGTTTTATAGTGGGCATTTCAGTGTATCATGACCTTTGCATCACCGCAGAATGGCCAAAATAGTCATTAAATTAGTCAAAATGGCATGAGTTGGTTACTCAACTCCTTTTTTTGGCTAAAAAGGTTTACTCAATTTCCTAAAACGAATCATTTAGACCACTTTTTGCTAAATTAACCTGAATTGCAAGTTTTTAGGGGCAAAAAAATGTTCAAAGAATGCCACCTCGCTCTCCTCTCCATTCTTGACGTAGCAAGACCCTCTGCCAACTTGTGTCACCTCCACCACCTTCTCCCCTCTCCCTCCTCTACCACCTCTCATGCCACCATCACTCCCCTCTTCCTCCCTTGTCTCCTCCTTCCCAATCATCACCACTTCCTCTTCCTCTTTTCTCCCTTCCGCCCCCCCTCTCCTCCTTCCCCTTGCACCCCCTCTCCTCCCTTCCCATTCCCTTCTTTTCCTTGCTTCCCTCGCGACCAGGTCTGGTTGCTGTGACTAGAGAGGGTGTACCAGAGGGTTATGCGATAGTAGCAGCGGGTGAAAGAGGAAAAAGATGATGTGTTGATGGTTTTTTATGTTAATTACATTTTCCTCCTATGAAGTTTTGCTAAAATTTGGATTAACTCCTAAAGTTTGATTTTTCTTTTAAAAAAATTGTCAATTAGATATTGACATTTTTAATGTTGGAAACCCACAATAATAGGTCAAGTTTGCTTTTTTTCCTATTGATTTATTGGCTAAATTGGTTAAATTGATCCTAAAGATTCGTTTTAGGATATTGAGTGATCTCTTTGCCCAAAAAATATTCAATGACCAACTCATATCATTTTAAATAGTTTAATGATCATTTTGACTATTTACTCTTGTATCACCACCTTAAGCTACTTTTGATTGAAATTGCTGGAGAGTATTTCCGATAATACACACGATGATATTAGGCAATTAATTGATTCTTAAATACGAATGATCATCTTGTCAAAGGTGATTATGCGAAGGTAGGCAAGACTCCTTGCGAGGAAAAAGTCGACCATAAAGGTCATCAAATCCTAGTTACAATCGGAACGTTTTTCAGCGGGGAAAGGATGGACGCCTATGCGCGACAAAGCACAACCTGCGGGTTTCTGTAGTTAAGCATCAAATATTCTATGTCAAAGATGGTGCCATACCTTTACTCTAAACATAAAAAAGCAATGAGCACAATGTTTCTGGAATATCTGATCATGGAAAGACAGCTCTAAAATTGCCCCACACGAGTACCTTGAAAAGCCCCAATCCCCACAAAAGGAACTTGACTCTACATCAAGAATAAACAGGAAAAGAAATAACCCTAGCATTTTCAGAATAAAGGAGGCATAACAAGCTGCCCTGGAAAAGACAAATGGTTCCTCCTTGTTTAGGAGGCTACTTTAAGACTATCATAAACTAGGTTGACCTTTGAATTGAACAAGCAAAATAATTTCCCTACAGATGGTTACACTTTCCATTGACATCCATGGAATTATGACGATAATGCACCGCAATCCAAATCACTGAAACAGTCATCCATCTACAACAGAAGAAAAAATGGATCTTATACACGGTCATGTAAATGAATAGATCCCTCCACAAGAATGAAAAGCTAGAAGATGCAACGAAAACATGAAACGTGTATCAAAGTTGGTCATTAACTGAGTCTTGTAAAGATACTATACTAATTTTGACACGGATAAGACAGAAAGATCATAAGAAAATCTTCATGCCGAATGTCAACCAATGATCAGTAATCACAGCCCTAAAAAGAAAAAAACCAAGTCACAATAAGTCACAAATATGGAAACTCTGCAACCAAAAAATCTTAATCATTTAAGTTGCAACAGGAATAGAACAACTAGTTTCATGACTATGCTAAAGTGATTGGTAACATTCCCAGTCATGAATCCAGATAATGACATGTTGACCTGTACACTTCTGCAACTCTTTGCACCATTATAGGTTGATATCAGACTAATGATATCTTTCCAACAGTTAAAACCAGTATTAGCGATCCAAATCAAGCAAGGAGAAAAATTTCACATTTCCTAAAGTATATATCAAATAATCTTCTTAATCTAGTCTATACAGAACCTCTCTAAATTCATTGCTGAAAATGTAATAAAACATGGCTCCCAGAAAACAAACTTGACTAATGTCACATTTGTAGTTTTACACAAAGTAAGGCTAGCACTCAAAAGAAAACAACATCTAGAATAATATTATTTCTCCTCTGGAGCTAATCCAGTGCTCTCTCCTACAGCACATGGATAAAAACTTCGCTTGGACATCCAATCATCATACATCATCGTTGCAATCTGAGTGAATACCATGTATTAGCATGATCCTTATATGATCAAATAACTGCAATGGAAAAGGTAAAAATTATACACAAAACCAGATTTGGTCCCTCAGATGATTTGATTCTGTTATTGCATTGCTCAAATATGATATTTTACTAACCATTAACATGAAAAAGCAACATTAGAGCAAATCTGTTGGCATTGTAATAGAAGGAAAAAAAAGAAATGACTAATGAAGAGCATCAGATCCAATATTTCTTTCGACTTTTACAACCCCTAAACCAAATCCACATAATGGTACAACAGTTAACATACTCAAGGGACATATACCTACATGCTTTCATACTTAAATATGACCCTATGGTGTTCTTGGATCCTGATCCATAAGTTGTAGGAAATAGTCTTCCATAATGCGTACTAAAGATAAACTTTTGGAAGGGAAGAAAGAAGTCCTATTAAATTTTAGAAATGAAGCTCTCTCACAAGTTGCAGAAAACAATGAGAAAATACGTCACAGTTCAATGTAACAGAAAGAAATCCAAATCACTGCACCTCCTTTAAAATCTTCATCTAGTCCTCTCCTGCCCTACAAGATGAAAAAGAATATGCACTCTTTTATTTCGAGAGGGGAGGGACCACAGAATACTAAAATAGAATGAAGAAAAAGGCCCCACCAGCAAATTGTGAAATTAATACGCGATTTACCTAACTTCATCCCAAGGGTTATCCACATTAGAACCCAAATGTACTTGACAATAATATTTAACATTCTCAAGTATGTCTTTTTATACTTAAAGAAAGAATCTAAATTGGGATCATGTCCCTCTTTCAAAAGAAACAGATGGACAGAGTTCCAAAATCAAAGAATTGAGACAATTTAAATCCTCCAACAGTGAAATTTCTTAACAACCTGCTACCTTGCAGCCATATCTCTATCTCACGAAGTCCAGGTAACTACATAAAGACCAAATCAAAGAAAATCAAAAGAATAGATCCAGAATATATGCAATAAAATACGGAAAAGAAAACAACCACTTTAAAATTTGGAAAGGTATAAAGACCATTTACTCAAAGAAAATGGGATCACAACTTTGACAACCAATCTCCAGATTGCAGATAACTTTGAAAAACTTCACTAGATTATTATAGAGATGATAAGAAATATAACAAGCATTTTTTTTTTCTTATTCTTTGCAAGGAAAAGGTTTGGATGGAATTCAGATCATTAGAAGTGAACCGTCATCCTAACACAAAAGAGTGCGAAGAGCTTTAACACCACTAGGTTATTTCCAATCCAAGAGCAAATGAAAACACAAATAATTACGATTAAATTAACTCAATTAGAATATCACCTTCAAGAGTCCAACCGTAGCTCCGCGGCGAAACGGAAAGCATTGAAGTTAGCAATGCAGAAGCTGTTGCAGTGTGATAAGGAAGCATCGATTCCACGCTAACACTGCTCATTTCAACTGGTGACCTAGGAATACAAGTACATGGGATTATTTACCCAAACGGTGCTTCTTTATTGAAAAGTAGAAAACCTTGCTGGTTTTTATAGATTTCCAAAACCATGGAAGTTTACTTATGTTATCCAAGACAAAAAATTTATTTCTTCTTCCCTTCAACTAAATTTATCTTGGCACCTGTTCCTTCAACAAGCCCAATCTTCACCCTCTGCCTTCTTCAACTGATGCAATCTTCTGCCTCTTCCTTCCTTTCTCATTCTCTCCTTTCTTAATCAGTATCGCTTTTGCCCTATGCGCCTTTTTTCACTAAATTTTGTTTCCTCTTTCTCCGGCTATTATAACTGCTCTGCTATCCTTCAAGGGAAATTTTGCAAGTGTTGACTGCCTCATAAGTTAAATTTTGCCTAAATTTTGAAGAATTATTCATCGTTGTGGGAGGTTATAAATAAGTCCAATGAGCAGTGTGCTTGAGTTTGTAACCATCATGTTCCGAGAAGATTAATTTTTTACTCTGTGATCTGTTGTTTCCTTGGCTTTCTTCTGATAAGAATAACAGTTTTACAGCCCTCTTTCTCGTAATCTGGAATCTGTTTTTTTTTTTTCATTTTTCATGTAATGTATCATGGGAATAAGATCAAGTGAAGGCAGGCAGCAAACCTGTGGAAAATGGAAATCGACTTCCTCTTCAAAATCCACTTCTCAAACTACTTAGAATTCGCCTTCTGAGGAGCCGGCTTCATACAAATAGACTTTAAAGAGTCGACTTCTATATTTTTTTTAACTCTATTAAAACCAAAACCTCAATAGTAAGATAAATAGCCCCACGTACAATCACCACACAAGAACATATCCCCATCTTCTCGTTCGAGAATTACTGAATGCTGAGTAAACATAATGCAGAAATTAGAAAATTAATTGCGATTAAAGTTTTAATACCTGAAGAAGCGAGCGGAGAGGGGTTTTTGAGCAGGGATGCGGAAGGGGGAGGAAGAGGGCTTCGGCTTGGCCCCAGTAACCACTTTTGCCGCCACAGTCCGGGCAGAAGTGGTGGCGGAGCGAAGCATAGTCCTACTGGCGATGGCGGCCATGGATGGGCGGCTGAACGAAGAGGAGTGAGGACGCCGAAGAGAAATGGGAGAGAGATGGCCCTCTTTCGCACTGCACCCAGGGTTTTGGGATCTGGATTTTGGGGGTTTAAGCCAGAAAAGCCTTCTCACCCTTAGATTTAAAAAAAAAAAAAAAGAAAAAAAAAAGAAAAGGGGAACTGGGCAAGCCAGTAACCAACGCATTTACCATCTCAATCTATGGACTATGGCTCTACAACTTTGAGCCCAATTACCGGCTGCTAAATTATTATATTTTCCTAATTACTTCCCCCATAAAATTTGACTATGTGCTGTTGTCAGCTTATTCTAATTTTGTAGAATTATTCTTGAAAATCAGATTTTTCAGAATAACTTAAGTACTCTCGTTTACTGTTAAAAAAGCTATTTTAATAGATGCATAGGTATTCTCAAAAGAAAAAATTAAAAAGCTGATTTTGACAACAAACATAACCATTTACCCTTATATGCTACATAACTGAATTTTTGTACTAATCAAATAATTTTTGATGTAATTAATTAATTTTCCCATGAAGATTAAACGGTAGATGAGTAAAACAAGGGACATAGATGAATTTGGAAGTGAGATAAGAATAGAAAGAAAATGGGAACATCAAAAAAAGTTATCTAATTTTTAGATAATTTAGTAATTATGTTAAAATTTGAAGGATAATTTTGTCTATATGAAAAAGTACCTTACGACCCGAACCTGATTTTCAGCATTTCTTTGGCCGAAAAAATATGTAAAATCAGTTTTTAAAATTAGTTGAGAATAGAACAAAATAGTTTTTCAAAAATCAAGTAAGTCAAGGGACTTTAACCAAAATGAAACTAAAAGATTATTTCATTCTTAATAGTTATTTAATTAATTGTTGGTTTGGAACATACGCTGGATTGGAATTAGGGCTGCAAACGAATCGAGCCGCTCGCGAGCAGCTCGAGTCGAGCTCGAGCTCGAACTCAAGCTCAGAATATTAAGCTCGTTAGCTCGCGAGCCGGCTCGCGAGTTTGAGTATATATATATATATATATATTTTTATTTAATAATAAAATTACGTATATCGCGAGCTTGAGTATATATATATATTTTTTTTATTTTTTTATTTAATAATAAAATTACATATATTATTTTTTTTTATTTTTTTTTTCATAGTAAAATTACGTATATATCCTTAATATTTTATATTTATTTATGAAAAAAAATATTATTTTATTTATTTTTTAAAAAATAAAATAATTATTTTTTATTTTTTTCGAGCTCGAGCTTGAAAATTGCCGGCTCGTCGAGCTTGGTAAAATTCAATCGAGACTCGGCTCAATTAGCTCAAAGCTCGACTCGACTTGGCTCGGCTCGTTTGCAGCTCTAATTGGAATCAAGGATGTTTGCTTTAAATTTTGCGCAAGATAATTAATTCTAAAATGTGATTACAAGATAAAAAAAACTTTTCAAAAATCAAAAGGTAAAATCAGGTTTTCCAAAATCAGTTCAAAACTTGGCTTATGTAAATCAAGGCTCATGCCACTAATAAATAATCCTGAATACCTTCTTGCGTTGTATATAAAGAGAAATTTACATGCTCTTGCAATTTGCATCAAGCGTAATTAGAAATACAAGGCCAAGAAGATAGAAACAAAACGTGCATAATTGCATTCTGATGAAGAAAAATATATGTAGTTGCGTGTTACTGGCCAAATGAAGATGAAGAAGCAATTATACATGCTGACTAAGGAATAGGGTTGGAAGGGTAGCAAGCCACTCGATCGATATTCACATCAAACTTGACTTGGTTGGAGTTCATTTAAATTTATTTCGCCAACTTATCAAACCAACATGTATAATAATTGTGTCTGGTACAATTTGTTAAAATGTTCAAATTTATTTTAATTAGCATAACATAAAAGAGTTATGAATCAATTTTCCGAGATATTATCATGGTGGTAAAAAATCAAAAAGGATTTGGGCCTTCAAATGTCAACGATAAAACTCACAATTGACAACTTTTGGAGACCCTTATCAACGTTCCGACGATTTCCCTCTTCAACACTCTTCAAGAAATAGTGCACAGGCAAAAGCTACATAACACAGTCTAATCTACTAATCAGCCAGAATAAAGAACCAAAGCAGACTTGGAACTCCGACAATGCTTCAACCGACTAGAATTGTGAACCAACTTTTCATGGTACAAACGAAGAAGGATTTGAGCCTCTGCATGATATAAGAGAGTTTGTATCTTCTTAATGATTCGCGCTTTCTCCCTGGCTGTCATACCAAGTGGTAGGCTAAAATCTCTCAGGTTTCGGCTTTGTTAGCGTATTGTTATTGTAGTGAACATGAATGTAAACTCATAATAAGAGGAAAGTCTCGTTCTCAGCTAGTGCTACTTGTGCAGCCTGCTAAATTTTAATCCCATCTAACTATATTTTGCCTAGCATCTGGAAACAGGAACGAGAGGCACCACTGCCTCTTCTTACAATCAACTGGTGAAAAGTAGTAACAATAATCTACCGGGTCGATTGGTCTGACTGCTAGACAACTTGCCGATAGTATCAGAAAACGAAAGTTCAGTTGAAATCAAATTCTCAAGGCAACGCCATTTACCTAGCATTTACAGCTTGCAAAGCTGTGCAGCATATTGATATTAGTGCTAGCAAACATATATATTCCATTCTTTCAAAGGTTCATTTGGTGATGGCCAAAATTAAACAAGAAAAATTTGATCAGGTATCACCTTTAAGCAAGTTTTGCTGAAATGAGCTGGCTTGGCATGTCAAAGCTTTCCTCGAATTCAAACCTTTCTTTGCCACTTGACAGTAACGATAGGTCTTGCTACCCAAGGACGTCAACTAGATATGCCTCGCTTTTTTTTTTTAAACCCTTCAAAAGAGTACCTGTTGAAAGATTATTGATCGCTAATCATGCAATCTTTTCAGTACCTTATGGAAGTAGACCTCAAGAAGCTTCAACTAGTCATCATGACAAGAAGCAAGTTGCTGATTTTGAAAAGTTTTTATAGAACAAGTACCACGGTACTACACCATTAGGACAATCAGTTAACAAAGTGACACAGAGACCTTTCTATGCCAAAAGTGGATTCGATCTTTATGGACTATTGTATATTGAGCCAGATGGCAAACCTTCAACAACTTTCAAATATGGAGACATAAGAACAACTGATAGAATTACTGGGTAATGCTGTAATTTGTTCGAAGCATACTACTTCTAATTGTTAAACAAACATACGGTTGCTGCTAAACAAAATGACTAGACAAAAAATTTGACCGCTCATCCGTATGTGCTGCTGGCAAGATACCATTTGAGAAAATCGGGTTGAAAAATGATGATGATGAGAAACCACGAGAAGGCATTTTCGTAGAGTTGTCCCTATCACGCTGAGACACTGCCAGAGGTTTAAGTCTCAGGTTGGTGTTTCAAAGTGCGAGTAGCCATCTATTTGGTGCCCCAATCACCTGAAAGAACTAGTGATCATCAGCTTATGAGGTTGAATCAATTCAGTGAACATCGTGAAATTGTGGAGTCTAAAACCAGTTATTCTCCTTAAAGGCCACTGATCCCTTTGTCGGCCATTCTTCTAGTCAATCATCCTTGTTGAAATTACCATTACATATATATATATATATATATATATATATATATTCAGAGAACACATTCTGGAAATGACTAAAAAGTCATCACCTTCCTGATCCAAAAACTTCAAATGCAGAATTTCCGAGGACAAAGTAATCTTTAGAAAGCTTTCCCATGTTGAATTTAAGAAAGGAAATTTTGCAACTGCTGTGGGAAACAGTGGCGGAGTACTTTAGAATTGAACATGTCAGGAAAAAATTTAAATTGTTTCACCTCCTTTTCAATCTTCAGCTAGTCCTCTCCTTCCCTACAAGATGAAAAGAATGCACTCTTTTTATAACAGAGGTGGGGAACAAAGCAGACAAAGAATTGAGAAAAGGGAGGATCTGGACAGAAATTTAAGATGCAGGTATTCGATATTCAATTCCTTCATTCTTGAAGATGAACCTAATAGTTTATATATTGGGCTTGAAACACGAAGTCTGAAAATTTTTCAGAGTACATATTTGTCTACTTGAAGAAAGAATCTTTATCAAAGGATCATAATCCTTAACTACCTATGAACACATACATCAATTTCACAGAATTCAGAAAACAAAAGCAACTTAAACAGTCTAAACCCGAGCAACTTGGGACATTCTTAACAATCTGCAACCTCAACGCTGCCACATCTCTATCTTATGAAGTCCAGATAACTACAAAAAGGCAGAGACGAGACAAAAGTAAACCAAAAGAGAAAAATCCAGAATGTGTTTTACATGCAATGAGCAACAACGCATCAAAATGAGAAAACCTGAACATCCCATCGATTAAAGGTTCATATATAAAAGCTCAGAATCACCAAACTGTCAACAAACAATCTGAAAAGGATAACTGCACGCAAAATAAGTCCTCTACTTCTTTACAATAGTTATTCAAAAATCTGTAACGCTACATGGTACTTATTCAATCGTACTAAAAGTTTCCTATGTGACTCACGTGGCAGAGATTGTAGTTCTCGTAGATTCCATTTGTATGGAAAAACATACATTATCCTTTCCACATTTGCCAAAGACATAACAATAATCCCATATAGTAATTCAACAGAAGAAAAAGATCCATAATCTTGTACAAACAAATCAAATATGAATTATCAATTGACATACACTTAATTTCACAAATTACCATCAAGAGCCCAATCGTAACTCCGAGGAGAAACGGAGAGCATCGAAGTCAGCAATGCTGAGGCGGTTGCAGTGTGATATGGAAGCATCGATTCCAAGCTAACGCAGCTCATCTCAACCGGCGATCTATAAATTCAACCACACAAAAACATATTTCCCATTTCGTTAGATACTAGTATTATACCGAGTGAATAAGTGAACTCAAATTAAATTCACCTGAAGATGCGAGCGGAGAGGGGTTTTTGAGTGGGAATGCTAAAGGGGGAAAAAGCGGGCTTGGGCTTGGCACCAGTAACTACTTTTGCCGCCGCAGTACGGGCAGATGTAGTGGCGGAACGAAGCATAGTCCGAGCGGCGACGGTGGCCATGGTGGCGGATTAACCAAACAAACCTGAATTAGTAGGGTTTAGACTATTAGAGAAGTGGCCGTCTTTCGAACAAGTCCAGGGTTTTGTGGGACTGACAACAGGGGAATATACTTTTCTTTTCTTTTATCTTCTGTAAATCTCATCACTATTCGTAGAAGATCGAAAGGATGTTTAATTCCGGTTAAGCCCTTCAAAATATGTTTATTTATCAATTAAACCGTCTCAACATACAGGTTTGCAGTTTGGTCCCCCAATATAAGAGGTCGTGATAATTGCTAATTAGCCACCTTAAACACTAGCTTTCTACTTTCAGCCCCTGAAATTATTGCAGTTTTATCATTCTAAATGTCATGCCACCTTGGCCCCTTCGATAGGCTTGTAAGAGCAGTAGCACTAAAACAAAGAAACAAGTTTGAAGGGCAAATTTGTAGGCGCATCAAGTTTATTCATGGTTGCTAGAAAGATTTCGAAAATGAGCAGGCGTCTAATACATTCAGGAAGTGAGCAGTTGTGTGCTTGAGCATTTCAAAGATGTTTAGATCCTCATCAATCTTCATTTTTTGCTAGGAAAGAATATATTTTTGCTACTAACTGAAAATCTTTAGTGAGAAAGCACCAAATGAAAGATTTGTGATAGCTAATCCTCCAATTCCGATACCTAACATGACTCAACAATGAAGTGAACGGGACTCGTCTAGGTAAAATTCTCAGCAAAGATGTACAGAATTATCCATCAGGAACATCAATCAACCCTTGTCTTAGAATGGATTACCAATAAAGATGCTAGGCCAATCATAGTATTATCTTGAGGGTCTTTTAATTATTATCATCTTCTCTATGGCATTTGCAACCATTGGAAACAGAGATCTCTGTTAATCAAATCAATCTTCGGGTAAATAATTTCCTGTGCTGTCTGAGGTAGACTGCTCTTGGAAACTCCGAGCTTCTCCGTTCCCAAGTCTTCTTCCAACAAGTCACCCTAGGACATTCTGATATTAGAACAATGATGCTGTCAAACAGTTCTATTGGAAACCAAACAAAAGCTACCAAGAAATTTCAAGTACTAAGACAAAACCAAATTGCGAGAGAGCTCAGCTCCAAGCAACTTCATTGCGGTAAAATGCAAACTCTTCAACACTAGAGCTGGCTAAGGTAGTATGAATATGTAATGTTGATGTTTTGATTACAGAAGCATGCGAACGTAAGATCAGAAACTGGAAAGAAAATATTCACTACTACAAATGTGGAATTTGGTTAACAAGTACATCAGCGTAAAGCCTGGAAGATAAAAATGATGAGAAACTAGGTGTGGGCGCTTGTGTAGACAATAATTCTGCCGTTGCTGCAGGTATTACCCGAGAGTTCTCCACAGCTCAAAGTCCCATGGTGAAGTTTCTGAGTCCAAGTGGCTGCCTATTTGGTGCCTCAATAACCTGATATAAAATATCGATCATTAGCTAAAATGAGCTTAAATCAATTAGGAGAGAAGTATTACTTTTCCAGAGTTTAAAATCAGCAGTTCTCCAGCCGAAGGTTGACGATTCATTTCTCATTTAACTTGTGAATTATGCGTATTACACTACCGTTTCATACACCAGCAGAAAACACATTTGAAGTGGCCTTATGGTATTATTGCCTTGCCATTCCAAAAACTTTCAAATGCTTTTCGGTTGATAATCAAACTTAAGAAGCCTTGCTCATATTGAATAAGTTTTCCTGAAAAATGATACTAGAAAACACTGGCAATGTACTTTAGAGTTAAATATAACAGAAATGAATTTCAATCAATTCACCTCCTTCTGCCATTCAAGGTAAAATGAGCACACACTTTTATTTCGGGAGGGAGGGATAGAGAAAACGCAGAAGAGTGGGAGGATCCGGACAGAAGCTGAAGATATAAAATATTGTATTCGACATCTTCATCCTGAAGATTATCTCCTTCAACACATTCAACTTCCAAAAGAAATCAACGAGATGATGTAAATTCTAGAAACCATGGACTTTCTTAACAATCAGTTACCTCGGTCTAGCCATATCTCTGTCGTTAGTGAGTCCAGATGATTCCCAAAGGGACCAACAATGGAAGAAGAAAAGAATTACTTACATCCAGGACGTAGCCAACAGGAAAGGAGAAACAGAACCTTGAAAAGAGACAAGCTAAACAGCCTATTTTTCAAACAAACTGAGGGCACAAATCCCAAATTTTCTGAAAAAGGCACCAATTTTCATCAAAAAGCAAGTGGTCATTGACACCCTAAAATTCCTATGCTCAGATAATGCAGCAGCTGGTTTAATACTGCAAAAACAGATTGGGAATTTGAATATGAATATCATTTTCCATTCACCACCAAAAACACTCTGACACGTTTTTCTAAGGTTAAAAGAGTAAAATGAATATATGTTAACTTCAAGTGGAAAAATACCTATCAAGAATCTTGGGACCAATTATAAGTCCAAGGAGAAACCTCGGAGAGCATAGAAGTTAGCAATGCCGAAGCGGTTGCACTGTGATAAGGAAACATCGATCCCACGCTTATACAGCTCATTTCAACTGGGGACCTATAAACACCACCCCACAAAATCATATTTCCATATTTCCCATTTCATTTTAAAGATTATATCCTATTGCATCTGGAAAAAAAAAAAGTGATTATATCTACCTGACTACCTGAATATGCGAGTCGAGAGGGGTTTTTGAGCGGGGATGCGGAAGGTTGAGCGACTGGGCTTTGGCTTGGCCCCGGTAAAAACTTTCGCCGCCGCAGTCCGGGCGGATGTGGTGGCAGAACGGAACACAGTTCTAGCAGCGCTGGCGGCCATGGTGGCTGAACAAAGAGGTCGAATGAGGGTACGGGAGAATTAACTTTCGAATGAGGGTCCTGGCTTTGTGAAGGGTTTAAGCGACAAAAAAAAAAAAAAAAATAATTAAACCTTTTCCCTCTTTCTTTTTACGCCTCTTCTTTTTCCAATGTTCTATTGAAATATTCTATGGAAATCATTAACCAATAATCTTGGGCAATTTTTCCCATGACCAAAAAGCCTTTTTACGTGGGTCCTTTCCCTATTTTGTAGTTTCAACTTTCAAATATCAAGTATCAACTAATTTTTGGAATGGTCATGTTAGAATGTATTTAATTTGAGATTCAGACAGAATTTATTGTTATTATTATTATTAATCATTTTCACCTTTCAAAAAAAAAATCTTGGTAATAAATTGTAATAATGCTTTGCTGTGTCTTTCAAAAAAAAAAAGGGTAATAAAATGAGAAAGATACAATCGAAGTAGTACAAAATAAACTGTAACATGAATTCCATCTTGTAATATCGAAGTTTCCATAAATTGTATACAAATTCTTTTCAAAATGATTATGTACTTGAAGATAATGGGATTTCCTTAATTAACACGTTTTACTCATAAATGAAATACTTTTGAAGATTACAGAGGTAAAATGGCGCAACGGATCTTCTGTCTCACACTCTGTGCCACTTTTTATTATATTGCTATTTCTCCTACATAAATATCATGTTTTAGTTCTTTTTTGTTTCCTTAAGATCCAATAACTATTAATTCAGTAATACACAAAATTTATCAAACTCAAAAAATCAAAATGCATAAAAAATGAGATTTTTTATAAATTTTCTACCGTATTTTTTAATTTTCTATTATATATTACTTTTTTGAAGCTGTTGTATTTATTTTTTACTGAATTAATAGTTATTAGATCTTAAGGAAACAAAAAAGAACTAAAACATGATGTTTATATAGGAAAAATAGCAATATAATAAAAAGTGGGACAGAGTGTGGGACAGTAGATCCGTTGCGAGTAAAATGGAATGGAATACTTCTAATACTGATAACACCATCTTACAATAAATGAAATAAAATTATTAGTCTTATTAAAAGTACATGGGACCTTTTGGGATGACTTTCCAAAGCCAAGGATTTTATTGGTCTAAGAAAAGTTTCATTCTTCTGATTTTTTGCTATGATATCCATTGCATTCAAAAGAAATTGACTTTTAAAGGATTGAATCAGATATTTATACTTGAAGATCCATCCTTCAAAGCAACCCACAATATTAGAAACTCTCATCCTTTTACTTGGAAAATGTTCTGAATATGGCACAAAAAGTTTAAAAAATTAGGGAACTTTTAGGCAAATTTTCAAGGTTATTACTATAATCTTTGGTACTATTATTTTCACATTTATGTTTAGATATATGGACAAATTTGTGATAAATCTCTACCATATCTATATCCTCTTGCTAATTAGCTGTTTAAGAAGATAATTATTAGTGTTAATTCCAGTCATGCTCTTTTAATTTAATGTGCCTATTATGCCCTCTAAAAAGAATTTCAATTTGGTCCTTAAAATCCAACAATGCATCTGCTGAGCACCTCTCGTGCTAATTTTGCCAAAATAACTTCCAACATTACAATTGCCTCAATCAAGCCATACTTAGATCATGTTTGATAACTCAGTTCAACACTTAAATTTAATAGATTTAGATCTTAACATATTGAGATCTTTTGATAATGAAAAACTGAACATCTGAATTAATTAAATGACACTGAATTTTTTAGGCAAAATTTATTCCCAAAATTAAGTGATAAGCTATTCACTTATTATTGAATGTGATATGCACTCAAATGTATTAGATTTAATATTTAATAATTCAATAATTTAATGGATCCAGATTTCAGATTTCAAACTTCAATTCTCAAATTTCAATTTTATCAAAGTCACCCTTAAATCTTGTTTACTCAATCAGCCTTTAATTATGAAATTTGGTCCAATCCACCCTTTCGCAAAAAGACGGTGCTATGTTTTGCCCACTCTTAGTCAGAGCAATTCAAAGATTAGATACTGCCTTCCATAAACTGGAATTTTAAGCCCTGAAACCAATACTTATGTCAAACATCCGAAGGATCTTTAGTGTCCTTTATTATTAGATTTTTTGTGTGTGTGTGCTTTGGTGTAACTAAAATTTCAATTATGCAACAATTATCTACTTGAGAATTTATAAGCTTTTTAAAAAAAAAAAAAAAAATTCCTAAGGTACAGTCTTTTGAAGTATCGTTGTGCCCATCTTTCCTCCTGACTTGACTGTTTCTAGCAGAGGAAAGTCCAACTAGAATTGCTAGTGTTTTACAATATTCAAAATGGTGGCCATAGCTGAACTTGGCTAAATAATGATGCGTAATCCTTTATTTCTCTTACCTAAGTTGACTTGAAGAAACTTGAACTGGTCATGTATTCTGTTACCTAACTTGATACAAGAAACTTGAACTAGTCCCCAGGACAAAGCAGCAAGCAGCTGATTTGGAAAAATTTACAGAAGAACAATTACAAATGAGTCATCCAATAGGGAAGCAATCAAAGGTGTGTGACGATCATTTGGATCTCAAATATGGACCAAAAATAGATGTTTGGTCTCAAATTAATGCCTTGAGGTGCTTTTACTTCGGCTCATCTTCTCTATGACATTGTGTAATAACGGGACACAGAGCCCCTGAGATGTTTCTACCCCAGGATTTCTGGAGACCTCCGCATTTGATCTTCCACTAGATAAACTCCTATGCTGTCTGAAGTCATTTGTACTCGGGAACTGCAAACTTCCTCGGCTCGCAGGTCTTATTCCTATAAGCCGTCCCAGCGGCACACTCTGATCTTGGAAGAATGATGCTGTGGACTAGTGCATATTGAGAAAAGAAACAATACCAGCCAAGAAACTACAAAATGAGAAGGGGATACTCACACAATGAAAAAACAGTTGGGAAAGAGCTGGAAGCAATTTTAAGTGTACCTCAGTATCAAGATTGGAGGATGAAAATGAGGTGAAACTGGGACTGGGAGAGGGCATTTCTGAGGACAATTCGTTTGCTGGTGCTGCTGCCTCAAAGTTGAGTGTAGCTCTAAGTCTCAGATTAATGTTACCTAGCCCAAGTGGCCATCCGTTTCTTGTCTCCATTACCTGAATAGGACTATTTATTAGCTTACACAGTCACATACTAGGAGGTTCAATCGAATTAGTAACCAAAATTAACTTGTATAGAGGCTAAAATCAACAGTCACGACGATGAGAAGGTCGTGGATTCCTTTGTACATCCGTTTATCAGGTGAATAATCGGTGTTACAAGCTTATTACTACATATAAGTCTACACAAACACCACATTTTCAACTGTTTCTGATCGATCCAATACACGTTCAATCATCCACAAAACAGGATGGTTGCAAATTGAATCAGTCAGTCCTGCAACTTTAATTGAAGGTAAGCATGTCTCGTACTAATGAAGCAGTGAGAAAACGGAATTTTCAACAAGATTCAAGCGATGGCACTAGGTATTTTTGCCTAGCAAATCGCCCAAGTCTTTAACCAATGGTTAATTAGTAGTAGTAATGGTAAGATGGACCAATGCAAATGCATGGTTTTGAATTCCATCCAACTTTCTTTTGTCCTAAGTACCAAGATTTAAACGAAGCAGGTATATATGATGTTACAGCATAGTTTCCTCCAAGCCAAAATTCTCAAAATTCATCTATAATTCGAAATTCTGAGCCAGATTACTCAGATTTTTCTCAAGTATCGAACTTATTCTCCACCTAATCCTTTGAACAGTTGAAGATGAACCACAATTACCAGATGATTTCAGAAGCAAAGACTATTTAATACTTCTTAATTTTCAGCGAGTGCAAATAAAGCAGCAACATAGGGGGGAAAAAAAGCTTTAACAACACAAAAAAGGTTCACAGATTCAAATTCAAAGAACGAAATATATCTAGCGACAGCCAATTAACAATATCAATTAAATCCATGATGCTATCAGCAAACTAAACCATGATAAAGACTGGTTTGTAAATTGTAAGTACCTCGACAACCATGTTGCAGACCAGAAAGAAGCCTCTGTGCTGGGAGAAAGATGAGCAATGATGATGATCACAGAATCATCCCCTAAAAGGCAAAAGCAAAGAGGAAAGCTTATTAGGTAAAGACCAGCAAATACGTTGAAAGAAGCTTTCTATCTTCACACCCCTCACATTCTTCCTTGAAACAATTTATTAGGTAGTACCACCAAAATTGATTAGGCCTCATGGTCCCACCTCAGAGTTTCAGTCTTTGTACCATAGCACTCTTCCTTGTACAGTTGCACCTCTCGTTTCTCGTTTGCTTTCCGAGCTGATAATTACGTGTATCCATGGAGGGCCCTTTTGGCTGCTTTAATCTACCGCCATTGTTCCAAGCGGTTGAAGGGTTTGAATTGAAGTTGCTTTCGGTTTGCCAATGTAAGGTGTCGAGTCTACTTACGAATTATTTGTAATTTGAAGCAATTAAGATTGAGGGACCGATTCAACTGTCAGATAATTATGGTGATTGAAGAGCTGCACTTCAATTTGGTGGAATAAAACTACGAGGATGAAGTGATATAAGAAATAATTATGTGGGTTGCTGATTCATTGACACCATGCATGGTCGGTCACCTCTTTGTATCTTTTCGGTATACGGTTTTTTTCTTTTTGGGGTATATAAGACAGTAGTACTTTTTTTTTTCTCGGGTAAGAAGAATTTGGGTGATTCGACTTCGGCCACCATCAAAGTCAAGGCATGCTATGAAGTATGAACTATAAGTCACTAAGGAATTCTACAGCCCCTTTAGAGCAAAATTCACTATTTGATATGAAATCATCGTTCTTGGATTATTTCAAGAGTTAAAATCACGAAATGATATAGTAAAATATAAATGGATTAGAATCATGGGTATCATATCCAAAAAAATAGAAATGTCAACAGGGTGAGGGTGGGATGGCAGGGGCGGAGCCAGAAAAAAATCTTAGTGGGGGCAAAAATAACACTAAAATTTTTTATCTACTCTTTTTCTAATTTTTTAAGCAAAAAAAAAAAGTCTCATGCATAAAATCACCATTTCACAAGTTAAAATATTTATCAAATAACCCATTTATTAGTTATTACATTAACTAATCAATTTTCAAATTTCTTTAAAATAGTAATAGTCTCATGCTCTAGAAATATATTTGCAAACAAATTTAAAATAATAATAATAAGAAGTAATTGCTTAGAATCTGATTTTGATGGTCTCCTAAAGTTGGTGAAAAGAGCTGCAAAATGTGGCGGACCCAAGTCCTAGAAGATCAATTGATTCTGGTGCAATCTCTAAACAGGATGAAGTGATCAAAAGAAAGAGTAACAATCTTTGGTTGTGGAAAAAAAAAATGGCTCTCGTATGTATGTTGGGGAGTGGGGACAATCGAGAGCCAGATGAGAAAAGGGAAATTGGGGAGTGGGGACAAAGGAAGTAAATGATAATTGGATGAAGTGATAAAAAGAAAAAGTAGTTGGCTTGGGTGTGGAAGAAGAGGAGCCGGTTGTGAAGGGAAATGGAGGACCACAGGAGTAAAGGGAACTTGGGGAGTGAGGACCAAAAGGAATAACTGATATAATTGGTACTTTGGCCCTATTGGTGGGAAAATGGGAACTAGAATAGGAAAGTGAATGATATAAATTTTAGAGCGAATTGCACGAAATGTCACTAAACTATTTCAAAGTGCCGGTTCTGGTCACTAAATTTTTTTATTAGCGCGAAATGTCACTGAACTAGTAAATCTGTACCGTTTTAGTCACTCCGTGTATTTGTGCCGTCAGGAGAGACGGAAATCAACTTTTTGAGGGGCAAATTCGTCTGCACAGTCTTTTCCTTGAAACTCTCTACCAAATCACTCTCAAATGTCAGACAACTCGTAAGTTCAATTAGGAAGTGCAAACCCTTATCATGTAATAGATTTCTTCTGCAAATATGGAGTAGGAGGGACAATATACGAAGTTGCAATTTGCTGGGAATGTGTTGAAGCTTCAGGAGAGGAAAAGGCAAGGAAACAACTCCGGGTGGGACCTACAGAAAATAGACGCCACGGAGGCATTTCGGGCAGCTATGGGGATGACGTCAGATTCCGGCAAGAGGGCGTCGGATATTTGGGAAAAAATGGTGGTGGAACCAAGCGCGAAGATTGTGAAGCGGTTCTTGATGGAGTAGGTTTTCCAGCTGTTTCCAGCTCTCAAGCCTCAACAATCTCTCTCTTGTTTGTTAAGCACCATATGTTCTGCATCTTCTTCTTCTTCTTCTTCTTCTTTTTTTTTTGGGTTTTCAATTTTACATTTCTTTTTTCCCTTTTTCCTTTTTTTTTTTGGTGTAAAAGCTTTTTTTTTCTTTCTTTTTTAAATTGGATGGAGTTAATTTCAGAATTTGGCGGCCAATTTTGGCGGAATATTCAGGACGCCTTCTGACAAAAAGTGTGCTGGGCTCTGACGGTTGAGGTGGAATTGGCGGTTGTGGCGGTGACGGTGGAGTGGTGTAGCTTTGGCCGTTGTTGCAGATATTAGGCCTAACTTTATAAATACAGAAATTCTGAACAAATTCTCCTCCTATCTTTTTTTTTGTTTTTTGTCTTTTATTTTGTTTGTACAAACAAATGTGGGGTGGACAATCCAAATGGGCAGTGCTATTGGCACCATATCCGCGAAATGGGGTGACTTTTGAAAATTAACAAAATCCCTTAAGATACTGTATATTTCTTACCGTATATTTCTTACCAATTGTAATATTTCTTACCGTATAATGTGTACGGATCAATGAATTCATCGCTTTGCCTTTTCACCCATTTCCCTGCCATCGATGACCGATTCTTCACAGCTAATCTTCGTCTTTTGCCGGTTCTTTGAGTCTTGTCACTGATTACTGTGAGAAGAATGGATCAATTTTGATACTTTTCACTGTCATTGTCCACATTCCCAAAAATTTTACCAACATTCCAAAGCCCCACAGTTAAACCTTTCACTTACCGGATGAAACTCTTCCCACTAAGGCTGTGCAGACGAATTTGCCCCTCAAAAAGTTGATTTCCGTCTCTCCTGACGGCACAAATACACGGAGTGACCAAAACGGTACAGATTTACTAGTTCAGTGATATTTCGCGCTAATAAAAAAGTTTAATGACCAGAACTGGTACTTTGAAATAGTTTAGTGACATTTCGCGCAATTCGCTCTAAATTTTATGACCCATTCTTTCACATTTTTTCTAAAAAGAATTCTGGAAGCACCTTTAAAATTATGTCAAAATTGTAGATGTATTATAGGAATTTAAGAGGGGCAGTGGGGGGCCTATGCCCCCAGTGCCCCACTTTAAATTTGCCCTTGTGGGATGGGGATCCTTTCCCCACCTCCCGCCACGCAGCCTACTATTTCCCCCGGCTCCTACCCTATCTTGCTGTCCACTAGTTCCCCCTCCCCCCTTTCGTCCCCACCTCGTCATGCTTCTCTCGCGGGGCACCTATGAGGGAGAAGCAAAAATTTTTTTTTTTTTTATAATTGCATTGTAGTTAAATTTTAGCCAAAAATTAAGTACTTGAATATTAATATATCACCAAATCATTATCCACTATAATTTTATAATTGAAACCCATAAAAACAATCAAATAAAAGTTATTTGAATACAATCCAACATGATGAAACAAATACAACTAAAGTAGTAAAGTTTTCACTTTTGAGACAAATACAATCATCAAATCATTATTGTGTGTTTTTTTAAGAAAAAAAGTGTTAATGTGTTAGGTATAATTAGGAATTTAGTATAAATATATTAGTAAATTTAGCATAACTAATTAATAATTTCTATTAGTAGACATGTACAATTATTAATATAATTGATAATATTAATTATATTATCTATACTAATATACATTATATAATACTTATAATTAATAATAATATTATTATAAGTTTGTAACTAATTAAATTTAATATATTATATATAATTTTTTATATATATTTAATTTTTTTTAATGGGTAGCAGGGCGAAGGATGGGATAGGGGTATACTCCCCCGTCCCCTATCCCATTTTTTAACAAGGGGAAAAATTCCCCTGCCCCACCCCACCCCACCCCAAGGCATTCACATTGTCATTCCTACCAAAAAGAATTGTAGCATTTTCCTAAATTACTTACAGGGTACTTTCATAATATCCATTAATATAATCCTCACATTTGTAACTGAATACAAACATAATCTTTACATTAGCAGCTGAATTCTAGACACAACCTTTAATGAGAAAATTGTTCGTTGGTACCAATTCAACTAAGGCATGGGTAATACTAAGTAGTACTAAGGTCAATGAAGAGATAGGTGCTACAAATTTACTGGGTCCATTGCCAAAATAAATTGGATTTATTAAGGGGCAAGACATGTCGGATAATCTTATTTTTCGGACGCCTAACTTGCACTAAACTCTTTATGTTGTTGTCAAAGCAAACTTAAGTCTGGTTTGATAACCCAATTCAATACTTAAATTTAATAGATTCAGATCTTAACATATTCAAATCGTTTGATAACAAAAAATTGAATACCTGAATTAATTAAGTGGTACTGAATTTTCTAAGCTAAACTTGCTTCCAAAATTAAATGATAAACTATTCACTTATCACTAAATGTGATATGCACTCAAATGTATTAGATTTAATACTTAACAATTTAATAATTTAATGGATTCAAATTTCAGACTTTAGTTTTCAAATTTTAATTTATTAACCGCACCCTTAGTGATTAATGGTCTCGGATTTGATTATTTTTGTATGTACAACAAAACAAAACTATGGCAATCATATTAATATCCAAAAAAGTACACCGACAGTTAACTCTTCTGGACAACTGTCCAGCTACAATCCATGCAAAATTGGAGGACAACTGCCAGATAACATTCTGTCCAAAATTGGGAGAGCGACTGCGTAATTGCAGTATTGCAGTTGAATAGCTTGCCTGCTCCGTAGCGCACCAAAGCAACGGAGGTTCGGATTTCGGGGAAGAGCTTCCTTCCACCATTGTACTAGCTTTCTAATCTCCTTCCTTTGATTAGGATAGCAATAAGAAAAGATAATGATAATCAGTGCTTCTATTTGATACCGTTTGTCATGCACTTGATTAGTGACGGACGGTATCCGACAATTGCTGTTGGATGATATTCAGCAAGTTCATTTATACATTTTTTTTTCTTTTTCTTAAAAAAAAAAAAAGAAAAAAGTGACGGCGATTTGGAGTTCATCAATGATGCATCCAATTAATCTATGATCTAACCAACATACATACTTCCCACACCAAAAAGAAAAAGGAAAAAAGATGGCCCAATGGAGAACTTAGCATGAAGAACATGATTTTGGTGGGAGTCTTGGGGTGAATGACTTCAAATAAACGGTAGCATTTTGCAACCTCTTGAGACTCTATTTAGAGTCCATTTTGAGTTGCGGTCATTTATAAAGAAACACTTTTAACACAACTGTTTCTAACAAAAA